AGATGGAGACCAAGAATAATGACATTTTTGATAGGTGTTTGTACGAGTTCGTAGCAAAAAACTGAATTGGTTATATATATATATATATATATATATATATATATATATATATATATATGCCATTTATCAGCTTACCAGCCCATCGGTCGGTTGGTATATGGTCTATCCAGTGTTTGTACAGGAGGAAACCGGGTACTGGGAAACGTGATGTTTGGTAGGTGAACGGAAACATAAGTCATAGGGAAAAAGGTCACATGACTTGTACACATTGACAACACATTATATATATGATGGCATTGCTCGTAGGTTAGGTTATTTCCGTGCCTTTTTTTCTGTGACTTTTTTCCTGGATTCGTTTGGTAGGGTCACACTGGATAACACCCATCCCACGTGCGTCCGTTACCGTTGCTACAGCCTTAACTGCATAACACTGTTGATTCTATGAAAGCAATTAGGATTACATCTTTTCTGTAACTTCAGTATGACAAACTTCTTTGGTAGACTGGAAACAAGAGTTTACTGGTGATGAAATACCACATGATTCAGTTAAGTTTTGGGTTACTGTGGATAAATATGAAAATGCTGCTGGAGTCAACTGTTTTTCTAAACTTATGCAGATGGTTTTGAATGCTCATGTATTGCCATTAAATAATACTTTTGTGGAGATAATTTTTTTCCCGGCCTAACAAATACCAAGACAAGCAAGAAACAGGTTCTCCTAAGAAACCATGGAAGCTGTGTTACTAATTAAGAGTCATCTTGCTGTGATAAAATATGCTACAATAAGTTTCAAATAACTCATAAGATGCTTAGTTTGTTCAACAACTCGATGTACAAGAGCAGCAACTGCAGGAATGTGAAGATTTTGAGGAAATAATGCAGGTTACTTACCAGAGACGCCTTCAAACTGGACAACACTTAGTATTGATAATTATAATGTATAATCTAAGTTTCTTTCAATATATACAGTCGGTAAAATATTATCCTCATCCTTACTGTGTGATACAGTATGACAAAACAAGAAAGTTTTGATAGAGCCAACAGAGACGTAACCGATCACCTAAGCGGCTAACGAGCCGATCAGTGGTGGAGAGAATAAAAGTAAAGTAAAAGTAACGATTGGTATCCCCTTTTTTAGTTTAACAAATTTATTGGCAGAGCTTGTAGTATAGTTTGCCTATTCTGAGTAATTCAGTCAGGTCTTGGTATCCCTGCTCTTTTTCATTGTTAGTCATGTATTATGATTTAAAATTATTTGTTATATACTTTTGTAGGCCTAATAATTAATATGATCAAGATTAATTACACAGCATTTGGTAAAATAGGGGTTTAGCCTTATATTTGACCATTTTAGAAAAAATATTTGGCCTATTTTAGAAACGCAAACCTGACATCCTGAATAGGGTACACATGTATGACGTCACTACTCTCAGCCACTTCTCCAGCTGACGTCCGGGAAAACATCACAACCTTCACCTCTGTCAGCTGCTCAAACTCTCCCGCTGTGTATTATAACGGGAAAAGGTGTCATATATATTACTGACTCATTCTTGGCTATAGTTAATGTTAGTTCTTATATTAGGGGTTAATTTTATATGTTTCATGAATTTAAAAGAGGCATGATATTCACACGGGATAAATATGTGGAAAAAAGCCTTATCACCATCTTGAGTATACTGTATATACACAGTTAACTTATAAGCAGCTTATCTTACAATTCAGATACCATTTTCATTACATGGTGCATAGAGCGAGTCATAACTCATCCCAACTGAACTAAGTTGTGAAATATTTCCACGTCTGGAGAGTTTCGTAGAATTTTAGTTCAGGGGCAAAGCTTATTATTTTTTTTATTTTAGTTTTTGACATCTTTATGCTTTTACGGCGGTTTTTGACGTGTTTTGAATGATTTTGATCTTACCTAACATACCGTACCCTAACCTAACCTAACTTAACTTAATGTAATATAAGAAAATCATCAGAAAAAGATTTATATTGAGTGTAGTGAATTTCCGGAATTCTGTTGTTGCTGTTTACTGTAATATTACCGCCACAAAATCCAGGAACTATATCTAACCTAACCTAAATTCCTAAGACTCCCCGGATGACCAAAACTAAATACCTTTTTTTAATAATCTTTTGATTTGGTAGCATATATTTCAATATGTACTTGGTGGTCCCCAGTACTTTTGAAACTAATTATAGTTCAACAGTGTTGGGTGGTGATAGTGTAGGTATATAGTGCAGTTAACGGGTTGTCCGGTCTTCTCGGACTATTCCTTGACACTGGGTCATGCAGCTCGTTAACTCAGTGTGTGGTCGTTGTGTTGGCAACAGCTTCTACACCTTAAACAAATCCACGCCTAGGTGGCCTGTGGGCTGGCCATCCTCGTTACATGAGGGGCAACCATTATAGTCCTGCATTAACCCACAACTTTAACATTTTCTATATCATGTTTCTTACTACAAGAATCTCCCAAAACAGGTGGAGGAATTGTTAATTTTGGTGTAATTTTATTTCTTAATCGGTTTGCACATAGGCTTCTCAGTCATTGACCGAACGCTTCCCAGCAACCTTACCTAACCAAACCCACCTGACCTAACCTAAAATAATTTACTAAATGTAACCAAAGGTAAAATAGTTCATCCTAGGATCAGTTTGTTTAGTTGGTTAATTTTATCGAAAGCAAATCATATAATGTAAACACATTAGTATGGCTTTACTGAGGGTAATACTTTATGAAACTGATTTGTGAAAAGGAGCACCTTTACGAAAAATTTCTACAGAAGAAAAGTGTTTTCTTCTCTTTTGAATATCAAGGAACCAGTGGAATAATTGTTTTTGTTTTTTTGTTAAGAGTGAAAGTAGTTCATGCATGTGTGGATACCATAATCACATTCCTTCTGTTGATGTTGAGATAACAAAATTATACCCTAACCAACCTACCTGACCTAATGTAGAATAATGCACTTCCATCCTTGGATAGCTGCATAGAAGCAGCTTAGATATAAAACTGCTAAGGCAAAATCACCTAGCTAAACCATTTCCACACTAACCTGGCCCTTAGGCCCTACCCCTCTTCTGTACTAATAGCTGATTGGTTCATAGAAAATTCAAACTAAATGTGTTCACAATTAGTAAGTAGACCTGTTATTATGTAAAATAATGTTAAATATATTGGACTATCAAAATGCAAATCATTTCTAGGCATTAGCACTTCAGAGAGGATGTTAGAATTTAAATATTTATTATAAAAGGTCGATATAAATACATGCTTATACACGCGCAGCCTCTGGGCATATTTCTTAGCCTGTGTTAAGGGCAGCAAACTTTGGAAGTGGTGAGGAGTTAGCAGCTGTGTGGGTGTACTGGTGGCAGGGTCAGTAAACAAAGCCCTGCACTTCCCCTCACGACCGCCTCACTTCACTCTCTCTCCATATCACACCTTGCGTAATGGCATTAACTGACTTGGAAGAGTGTTTTGGGGGGACAGAGGTTGCTGAAATAGGCTAATGTGGCTTGAGAGGTTGAAATTTTGTCATTTTAAATACTGGACACAGTATAAATACTTTTGGGTTATTTCAGTCAAATTCTTTGATGTACAGTGATCCCTCGGTTAACGAACGCCTCGTTTAACGAGATTTCGGTTAACGATTTACCTTCCATAAGATTCTTAACTTCGGTTAACGAGCAATCCCTTGATTAACGAGTTTTTTACGAGCTGACTTCAACATGATTTCGCTTGCATTTGGCGGTCCACCAGCTGTAGTATTAGTCCGCCAATACAGTAATTGGTTTTAGGGCTTAAATTCCTTACTATTTTAGTAAATATCAAGAAGTTTATACTATTCAATAATTTAAAAGTTTAATATTAACTTTTTAATATTTTTAACAATTATTGAACATAATTGAAGGTAAGAACCAGTTTCAAGCATGCCATCCAGCCTGTTAACACACCAGAAAGTAGTCTCTCTTCGTTTCTTTGCAGTGGAGTGTACATCTTGCTTGGAGACTCTTCAACTAAATGCTTTTTGTCTGTGTTTCCAAGCAAATTATTGGTCATTTTGAAATATATTTTATATATTGACAATATATAATGCAGTGCAGCATTGATTTAAAGAAAATAATCTTGAATTAAACCAGAGAGCTAAAATTTTATGGGTAAAATGGCGCCATGGGGTGACTTCTCTTCCACCCCAATGCCTTCTTTTCTTCCTTCTCCTCCACCCCATTCTAAATCCCATCATCATCATCATCATCCAGGAGCCTTCTACATACACACCTCAAAGTAAGTGAACTTTTCTACCATTTTTGTTGAATTTAGGAAATTTTCGGTGAGCTGGAACCAATT